TTCCTGTATAAGGGTTAAAACCATCTTAATTCACCACCAGCTTAAACTTCATCAATCCAAATAGTGAGGACTATGAATAACCTATTATGGGTAAGGCAAAGACATAAAAATAAACAAAACACGGTTCCTTTCATTAAGAATCTTATCTAGTCCAGGTAATAAAGTGTTGTTATGGAGGTTGAAGATTTTCATGAAGCAAAGAAAGACTCAGGGAGTTCAGGGATAACAAACTCAAATTCCAGGCAGATGACAAAGAGATGCAGTGGCTGGATGGTGAACACCAGAGCTGACGCCCCTTCCAGGGAAGGAGTGGACACACGGCTCTCGCCAATCGTTGCCACGGCAAAATGTCGCCAGGTGATGTCAGCTATCCAAAACTCCAAGAAATGCCAGAAATCTGGATTTTTATATGAAATTTTATGATTTTAAAATGTTGATAATTAATTTAAAATATAAAGTAAGTCGTAAAGAAGAAAAAAATGTTTCTCAACTACCACACAGAAGATCGCAAAAAGAATGGAATGCTGATCAGATTATTCAGCAGTTCTAGAGGGACTCTGGGTACAAGGATAGCAGCAGTGACCACCTATGTTTTCCCCAGGAGTGGTATCTAATGTGCTACTGAGAGATGATAGTCAAACATTTAACCATAAGTACAGCTAATAAAAATAAGAAACACTTTTATCCTACCTACTATGTGTCAAGTCTCTTCTAAATGCTCTGCGTGTATTAATTCATTTAGTCTCAGAACAATCATTTGAGATATACATTATTATCTCCATTTTAGAGATGAGGAAAATTGAGTCAAAAAGGCTAATTAGCTCAAAATCACACAGCTTGTAAGTAGTAGAGCTAGGATTTGAACTCAGACAATTGGCTCTAGAGCACAAGTACTCAATGCATCCTTAATGAATACTGTCAGTCAGAATGCCCCTCCCCCAATCATTGTTGGGGTGCTGGGAAGCTAAGACAGAATTCTAGAGAGCCCCTGCAGGGCCAGGTGTTAACTCTTTAGTTGGTGGATTGTAGAGAGGTCCAAGAGCCCCAAGGGAACAGTAGGACAGCTAGAGAAGTTTGGAGGGTTTGGGGGGACCCTTAAAGGACTCTTGTCTGCAGCTGTTTACAAACCAGTCTGGAAAACCAGGTTTGCAGCTGACAAATCCAGTTGCGCCGTTATGTTGAACAAGCAGTGCCTGATGCATAGTAAGTACTAAATAGATGTTAGCCATGATTATTATTACCCAGGCACAATGCATTGCTGGGAATTTCTGTGGAGAAGATACTTAATTTTAGGTTATCTCATGGACCACTAACTTATGGGAGATGGCTCTCATTGAGCCAGGCTCTAATCTTTTATCTAAGCAGCTCTAGATTCTGAACACAATAAACTAGAGGAACCTCTCAGAGAGGTGAGGGTATGTCAAGTAGTCTGAGGGTTCTCAGAGGGGGCAGTGTGACCAAGATACTTGTGCTTAAACTCTAATACTGCTATTGTTGAACAG